TCCCACTGAAATACACAGGTTTGCTAGGTGCTAGAAGGCTTTTCGTATACACCACTGTATAGCATAAGTGAAAGGAAAGTTTTAAATGGAGGCATATTCCACTACTAAAGGTTTGTTTTGCTAGCTGTTGTGTTTATATTTCTGCAATGCTTTGTGTTTTTTGGTCATCAAGAACTATGTACAGGTTAATTAAAATTTGCAATATCTGAATGTAATGTTTTTTGAAAAGTGAAGAAATTAGGGAAGAGCATATATCACCCGTCAAAAGCCAATAAAGCAGTGAAAACATCCTGCTGCATTTTAGATGTGTTTCTATTTATACCAGTTCAGAGTCTTAATTTCAGAAATTGTTTAGTTAAGCCTCAGCTGAAGCAGAGCCCTTCCTTATCATTAAAAAGGCACACAAAACCCCAAACTTGCACGTGCATAAAACAGTATAGAAAAACTTTCCTGCTTATTTAAGAATGTGAGTAGAGTTTGAGAGCTGTACATAAGGCTATTAGTAATTGAGGCTTAGATTTTGTGTATATACATATATATGCATGTATGTGCACAAACTCACAAGAGAAAGTGAATGAAAGATTTATAAATTTAAAGTGCACCTTGAAAGAGTAAAAAACAGGGGTTTTTTTCATAGCTGTAATTTTGACGGAATCCCTGTTTGCAACAGGATGACATGATATGCTGTTTTCCCTTCTTGGAGCTAATTCTCTGACTTCCCAGAGAAATATTTTCTGCTCTATTAAGAAAACTTCAAGACTAAAAGTAATGTCAATCTTTGAGTATTTAACAGCAGTGGTAACAGATATGCAGGCCCTCCATACTGACAAATGGTGAGTGGATTCACTGATCAAAGGCAGAAAATGCAGTGTCATTATATCAAATATGCATACTACAAAGTGAAGTAAATGTAAGTAATCCACAGGAGATTATATTTGCCTTACCATTAGAGAAATATCTGACTAGAACATGGCTCAATTTACTTCTTCAGGCAGAAAATTTCAGACTCTCTTGAAGAAGGAAGACAGCATCTTCTGATAACATGACTACAGGCATTTACAGGGTCAGATGACAGCAGCACAGAGCTCACCTACCTTGACTTCCCTGGCAAGGCATTCTACAGGAACCTGAAGCATTTTATGGCTATTCAGGTCAGATTTTCTTCTCTGCTAACATCAGTAAATATTCTGCTCCAATTGCAATCCCTTAAAAAACAATAAATCTTGTTCTGTAGGAGCTTGCAAATTATTAAGGAAAGAACACGCTACAAATGCGTAACCAGTACTCAGACAGAAAACCTATAAAGAAATTATTAATACATTGCTTGCAAAGAATTTTTGCTTAACTTAGTATTTGTAAACTTAATATAACAGATTGTGTCCTTAATAAAATTCTTAATAGACAAGATTGAAAGTACGGGAATAAATCAGTGTTTTACAGTACACACATTTAATTTCCATTGTCATGATAAAGATTGCAAGGTTGGAATCATATTATTTATGTCTATAACCAGTACAACAGAGCAATTCATCTAGAAGAATAATGATTTGGAGGGACAAACTTTAGAGGTCAGTGTAGCTACATTCAGCGTTTGACTTTCCTGCTCAATACATGGAGCCCACACACAGGGTTAGTAGAGATGTTAATAACGACTGTATCAATTATTACCACCATCCCCAAACTATGAACTCCTTCAATATAAGCCACTGAGCGGCTATTGTGAAGACAGAATTCTTTTCATTGCTAACTTGCATAGGATTCAATTCAGTGACATGCAAGTGAAAGATGCCAGCCTCACTTGTTTAAGCCTTCAGTTCTGTTAAAAGTAATTTTAAAAAGTAAGTTCTGTGCCAGTTTTTAACAGTATGTTGATTCATACTTTACAGAAATATTGCACGTAGGACTGTGGACTACCTTTTAAGCTTGATAATTTAATCACATTTCTGAATATCTATGAAATAACTTTCTTTCACCTCACTAATGACATCTGCTAGTGGAGTTTCACAGCAGGGGAAAGACCAATGTGTCATTGGGGAGAGGTCAGCAGAAGAAACAATTTTTCCTCAGCAAAAAAAGAACAAGAAATTTCCTCTTGTATTATTTCTTCTTGCCAGCTGGGAAACACTTTGAAATACTGTCGTGAGCTCTTACCTGCAAACACATTCAAGTCAGATATTTCTGGGGGGCAATGGGCCTGCATACTCATACCAGCCATCAATGTCTGGAGAAGAAAACCATTACACCAGACTCCATGAGGTCTTCAAAATACTCTTGCCAGTAACTGCCGAATTATGTCCATGACATGGTCTTTGCCAACACTAAGCTCATGAGAAAGAATCCTATATGAATATACTATTACATCTTATATTGGGGCGAGTGGTTGGCAGTGCAGAACTTAAAGCATTATCAGAATGTAGCACAGCAGTTAACAGGGACAAGGACTGTGCCCTGTCTATTACAATTGTTCTCATGGGTGAAAGGCACTTCATAACCGAGAGCGCTAGAGTACCGCACTCAGTGCAAACACTGGAGATAGCGCACAACAGGTTATCTTCGGAAAAGTAAAAGTAGTAGTTTTCCCATTCATTAACAGGTCTCCCAGACTGTCTTGATGTGTCCATTACAGACAGGGTTCTCCACTGTACCTGTAACTCTATAATAAAAAAAATAAAAAGGCTATAAAGAAATTTCATGTCTTCACATCCCACAGCACAACAGGTTTGTTGCTTTCCAAGCTTTTCCACTAGAGAAGATCAGGACTATTCTGACAAGTAAGCACATCTGTTTCAGTGTGCAGCTGCTATGTCTTCAATTGCAGTTTAATGAGATTCCTAAAGTGTTTGGTACAGGATGCGCTTCTGATCTTCAGTATCATTATGCAAGTCTGCTATACTGTTCCTAGCTTAAAAATGTTAAGAACAGCTGTGCTGCTGAAAAGCTAGTTGAAATGCTATTGGTAAGGCTATCGTAAGACAAAGGTGCTGAGCAGTGAATATTCTGACTTCTCTAATGTCTATCTTTAAACTTTCAGTATTTTCACACATCTTTTTCCCATAAAAATATTGATACAAAAATGAGTTCTACCTCCTCCTTCTTTTGGGATTGCAGGGTCACAAGTAAAGCCTGTGTGTTCCTAGTTGTGGAGAAAATGTCAAGAGGGAATTCTTCAGATTACACTGAAGAACAACAAGATTCACCTGAAAGATGAAATCACACAATTCAAAGTAGATACAAGCTTAAAGGAGGAGAGTGTTCAGGCACTGAAACAAGCTGTCAATGTAAATGTTGCAATCTTTCTTGATGTATTCAGATCAAAACGGATTCATTTCTAAAAGATATTATTTGCCCAAAAATACAAATTCCTATTCAAGCAAACACAGCTCTGTACAGTACTGACTGAGTGAAACAGCGATGGCCTGTAATAATGGGACTCTGAAACTGGTAATTTTTTACAGTCTTACATTATAGAGCAAAATTCTCAAAATATACTAAAATAAGAATTGAAATTATAATCTAGCAAGAGTTGCTTAGAAAACTCATTAGGTAGCTCAAGTACCCTTAATAGGCTTCTAACGTTATTCCCAAGCTAGTTTTAAAACTGCAGGCCAGCTTTGTGCTGTATCAGTACAAACACATAAGGGCAAAGGTCTGAGACATAAGTGTTTGAGTGACTCATGTGCAAAACAGCATCAGAAAAAAAATCCTTGGAGCATGAAAAACACCTCTGTATCCACCTCTTGTTCAGGCACATCAGAAGTAAACAGTATTATTTTAAATTTTATTTTACCTTTCCACTTGAAAAAGTTTTAGGTCTGAAAATAAGCATGGAATATGCCCACTGTCACTTTGCAATTTGCAAAGAGGTAGTATGATATTGATTAGCAACATTTAAAGTTATTGTTAAATTTTATGAGTTAATTAAAAAACTAAATAAGATTATTATTGATCAGATAACCTAATACTGGAAGTGATCACTCCTTTAGTAAACTAATGATGTGGTAACCAGAAGAAAGCTTGCTGTATTCTGTAGGTTTTGCTGATGCTTCCTAACAAATAAATCTTTTAGTAACTCTTCATTCCTTACTTTACAAGGACAGATATTTAATCTTTGGAAGTATTTACAGTTATCAATCTTTTATAAGCTAATTTGGCACTGATTTGTTTTTAAAATTCTGGAATACACCATCTTCTGAAGTCTCCTACGAAAATCTGTCAGTTCACCAATGATGACTTCTCTTTGCTTTTTGATCTAATCCAAAACCTTGAGATGTCATGCTTTTCTACTGCAGTCCCATGCATACCTCCATCCTTGCATCTGATGATCAGGAACACTTTTTTGTCTACTTCTCAGGCTGCCTAAAGAAGTCCAATTCAGGAAAAGTAAAGAAACTAAACTTTGTAATATGTACTTTGTTTGCATTTCCATCATATGGGTCCTCTCCTATTGTAAGGGTAGCACATCATGTGCAAATCCTTCAGGCACCAGGAACTCCCAGACATCTCACAGAGTTCGCATTGCATTTCCTATATACTAGTTTTCTCACTTCCTTTTTCTGAAACCAACTCAAAGTTAATTAAAACTGGGTATGAAGAAAGATCACATATGAACAGCAGCTTTTTGCATATCTGTAAATAGCAACATACTGCCTAGAATGACCCCAAAAGTCCAGTTCTGAAGATAAATACTGGCCTTTTTGCAACAAATTTGACATATCTAGCTCAGTAATATCCAGGCCCATTGGGGAGGGGGAGTGTGTTGTTCTGTGTGGTTTTGCTGGGAGGTGTCAGGGGGATTTTTACATAGTAGTTGGTTGCAAGATTTAGAGAAAACAGATGAAGCTTAACAGGAAAGTATCTATTCAGTCAATAGTCAGTTGGCTTCATCTTTTAAAAACAAACTTGGTAATCTTCTTCTACTTAACAGTTTATAAACGTAGCATGTTAATTCAGTATTCTCCAATAACATCACCACTACCTTAAGGAAGAGATTATCACCGTACTTATATGCAAAATCTTATCTTTGTCTTCGGATAAACAAGTCCCATTCTTTTTCTGGAAGAGAGTTTCTTTTTGGTTGCTGCTGTTTTCTTTTCTTTTTTCCACCGCCATCCTGGAAGATGTTTATCATTCTGACCCTAACCCTTTATAGTTAGACAAATCTTTTTCTTCCTCCTCCCCAACCCCCAACAAATAAAAGAAACGGAAAATAAGGTCATTCATCACAATGAGATAAATCAGAAAGCTGACTCAGGAAATGAAACTCAATTTTTTAGTAAACTTATAGTACTCTATAACATATGGCCTTTAGTACTGTGAAGATAGTAAAGATGTACAAAACCCAGGTTTTTGGTTTTGTTTTTGTTTTTTTTTTTTTTAACATATCTGGAGAAGAGATAATGCCATGGCAGGGCTGATTTACAATGAAGGAAAGCAATAAAAAAATGCAATCTAACCGGGCTTTGTCAAGCCCCTCTGATTGCTTTATCACAGAATGGTTTGGATTGGAAGGGACCTTAAAGATCTATTTCCAACCCTCCTGCTATTGGTAGGGACACCTTCCACTAGATCATCTCTTACAGACTCCTACTTAGTTATCCTCTGTGTATTACAGCAATCTTTGCAAGGAAACCGTGGGCTTTTCTTAGAGTTAAAGCAGACTGAAGAAAGATTACTATAGAAGACTGAATTAGACAGATTTTTTTTTTCTTTATGGATTAGAGTTGTGAAAAGAACAACTCATGCAGTTATTAATGAGATTTGAGGTTTGTTCACTGTCAGCCTTTGGGGAAAATAAGTATGTTTTCAGTATTTTACAGGTAATCTCTTCCTGCAGTATTCCAGTCCCATGGTGTATTTAAAAAATTAGTACAGTTAATGGCGATAGTCTATCAGATAAAAGGAGTTCAGAAAAGAGCCACTAATACTCAAAGGTGTACTACAAAAAATAGAGGCTGATTCTATTAAGATAAACAACTTGGTCCCAATTTCAGAACACAATATATGGGAAAGTATAAAATTAAATGGCAACTGGACAGTCAAAGAGACAAAATGAACTTCTGATTGTTGAAAAAGGATACTAATTTCTCAAAAAGTTAGACTTTCTTGAGTTAGCAAAGTCAACCCCAAGACTTTTTTTTTTTTAATGAAGCTATAAAGCTTTTAGATTCCTATCCCTTCACAGACTGGATAGAGAATTTCAAAGGAAGCTAAAACTTTTGTTAGTGTTACAAAGCAAAGGTATTAATAGTGACACGTTGTCAAGTTGCAGCCTTTCCTTTCCCTTTTCTACTGGCCCACTATTTTTACTGACAATTATACATCTTTAAAGAAGTTAATTTCAAGTTATTTCACTACAGAAGATATTATGCATGACTCACATTTATATCCTGGAGCTACTGGGCCTCTCATCCCTTTCTGAACAACAAACTGCCTATTTCCAAGCAGAACATACCAAGCTCAATGCAGATTCTCTATAGCTTCCTTTCTTCCGTGGTGTAGCACATATATACCACATGTACCACACAGCAGAGATTCTGCACCCTTATAGAGTGAGATCTTGCATTAGACATGAGCTCCTGTTACAGTTTTCAATTTTGCTCCAGTAAAAACTGGACTAAACAAACTTTCTGTTCTCCTCCATTCAAATACTGGGGGGGGCGGGGAGAGGAGACAGGGAAGGGTGTCCCCCTTCCTGACCCTTTTGTGGAGTCTGACAAGCACAGTCCTCTGTACACTTTTGTAGGAGGCTCCTGTCCCTGATGGGAACCACAGGGGTGACCCTCATAACCTCCGGCTCCACGGCTAAACACATTCTAGGCTAATCCCCTTTTTTGGAATCCGCCTGTCTCTGCTCAGTGGCAGCTCTAGTTCAGCTGTTACCCCGCAGCCCCCGGAGTAGGTCTCCAGCACGGCCGGGGCCTTCCCGCTGGGCTCCCTGGCTGGGCACGGGAAGCGGCTTCTCTTACCTGGAGCGAACACCATGGTGCCGCCCGAGCGCGGCGCGACTCAGAGCCTCGGACAGCTCCCGGTCCACACAGATCAGCACGTCGGACAGCGCCCGCCCCGCACAGCTCAGCGGTCCAGTCCGGCCCCGCACCGTTCAGCACCTCGGACAG